GTTTCTATGGTGCAATGAAATCCCAGTTAAAAAAAAATGGAAAATGCTTTTCAGTTCGCTTTGTTCCAAATCTAAGTCGGTGCTTGTTTTGCAGTAGAGGGAGACGCTACCGCAGGGTGCTGCGGCTCTTCCTTTGCATTGCCTTGCTGGGAGGGTCCGACTCAGCGGCGGCTCCTGTTGTGCCGGGGTTTAGGTCAGGCACGTGTGGAGTCCCTGTCGTCCTTTCCCAGCCTGCGGTCGGCTGCGCGGGTCTTTGCGCGTATGGGACTGGCACCTAAAAGGCCGTGAGATTGCGGGGAGGCGTCAGTCAGACGTGGTTCCTCTCCACGGGGCTGCGGAGGCAGCTTGGAGGCAAGAGAAGCGGGACTGCAGCCGGGCTGACTTTCCTGGTCCTGGGAGCGTACAAGGATGTCTCGTATCTCCCAAGTGATGCCAGACACTGCTAAAACAGCCCCAAATCCATCTTAAGTCATAAAGCTTGTATTACGAGGGACCATTTTGGTGTGGACTCTGTACCTTTAAATAGTTCCTCTGCCATGCTGAATGACTTTGAAATTTGTTCTTATTCTGCAGTTAAAAATACCTTCAGCTTCTCCCTGCCCGAGGCAGGACTGACAATAACTAAATAAATAATTTAAAAAATCTTCTACAGCTGATGCAGTAACAATTTCTTTCTCACAGAAGGGACAAAAGGGAAGGAGCGCAGCAGGAGCATTCAGGCATCAGACTGAGCTGGAGGAAGAGTCAAGTCCAAAGGCCAGAGTCAGGAGTTGTCCCCATAGCTAATGTTTGCTGTTTTGCATAAATCTGCCACAGCCGCAACCCATCCTGGCCCACGCAGGAGCATCGCAGCTGCTGGGGACGGTTTGCAGAAGCAGGACCAGGATGGCTGCAAAAGCACTGCCCCTTTCTTCCACTTGGAAGCCAGAATTAAAATAGCGGCTCCTGATTCCACTGCGCTGGGGCAGAGGGGAAGGGAGGTCTCAAACTTGCTGGCGTCTGCTGCTGCGCCTTGCCAGCTGAGGCAGCCTTTCCCTGCCTTTACCTTGCAGCCAGAAAAATCTGAGTGAAGGTGCAGAGAGAGGTGATCCTGTCAGAGCAGAGAGCAGCAGCGGTAACTCCAGCAGCAGGACTTTGGGCAGGCCAGAGAGGCTGCTCTGGTGGCATTTATGGGGGCGTGAGGATGGGTGCTTTCTAGTGGGGTACAAAGGATGGGGGTAACAAGCACTGTGCTATCTGTGCGGCTGACGCTGGGGGCTGTGTTTTTGTCCAAAGGTGCTATAAAATGAAGGTGAGAGGCAGCAGTATCTGTTGTACACTGTTTATTTTTCATGTGGAGCTTGGCTTGATAAATAGGACTGAATTAAAGCAACACTCATAAAAAATAAAACCCAACCATGACTCAGAAGTGCAAAATTGCTCTCCACGTGTCCAGAGACAATGAGGTTCTGGTTTGCTGGAGACAGCACGTGGATATTGGTGTCTGTACCAGCAGGGCAAAGGCTTCAGCTTATTGATATCCTAAATGCAAAAGGATGTCTGGTACAGTATATGGCTTTGTCACTGGGTAGCCACGTGTGGCTCTGAGAAACAGCTTCTGTTAAGGAGAGGTCACTGGTGAGTTTTTCTCCCGTTCCTATTTACAAGTCGTGGTGCTGTCTTCCACTCAAACCACTGAACAAGGGCTGCTGAACACTAAGCGCTATGAAATTAAAACAAAAAGCAAAGGGTAGAAGCCAGGGACAGCAAAAACCTGCCCACCTCCATTGCCTTTGGACGTGGCTTGTCGTATAAACAGCACCAGTAGAGAGCAGACGGTTCCTGTGGCGGAGGAGTGGTTTGTGATGGGAAGACTTAAGACTTGCAAAGGATCAGAAAAACTAAGAAGTGCATCCCAGGTATGAAATTACAGTAACAGGTTGCCTAAGGCTGAGAAAGGTCTTAATTGCACCGCGGGCGCACAGCTGGCAGCAGCTGCACTAGCTGCGGCTCTCCCCTCGCACCTTCTAGTGAAAGCGGTAGTTCATCCTGTTCCCTGCTCACCTTTTTTGCAGCTCTGCGAGGAATGAGCTAGCTTGACTCCAGAGGACAAAGCATGCCATCAGATACTAAGTACTCGGTCTTGTGGTAGTCAGAGAATCTGCATCTGGCAAAGTGTTCCCAAAGAAAAATCAGTTACCCAGTGGTGGGAGAGGGATGAAAGCTCTAGGGAATGAACAGAGCGTGGGGCTAATTTGGTGCCTGGTACAAGGGTCTGTAATTTACCTGCCCGGCAAAGTATCTGGAAGGGAAGGAGTGAAAGGGGTTTACCTACTCGGGCGGTGAGCTGAGGATTGTAGCCTGGGGGGGACTGCTGCCAGCAGGTACTACCACCGACATGCTCTCAAGCACTCGGGCCTCTCGCTCCTTCACAGTTCTTTATTCCGAGAGCTGCTCAGAGCCTTCCCTCTCCCAGCCTTTCCTGTGCTGCCTGCGCAGGGAACCGGCAAAGTGCTGACTGGTGCTGCCCGCGGCAGGCTGCGGGCCCTGATGGGATTGCAACTCCAAGGAGCGGTGGCACAGTGCTGATTTCGCTGCTGCGACCCCCTGCCCAGGCTGCCCGGGGTCTGCGGTGCTGCCGGTGAGAGGGGCAGGCGGCGGCACCCGTTACCTCGCTGGCCTGCCACCAAAGCTGGTGCTGGGCTGGAGGGCCTCCAACGTGCCCGTGCACCGAGGCAAGCTTCGCCAGGCAAGCCTGGAGCGAAATCGCATGGTTGCTTCGCAGCCCTACCGTGGCGATGCAGGCTGGGTGTTTCCTGGGGCTTTCTGAGCTGCGGGGCAGGGCAGGGCGCCCCTGGGGGCCGGGGGTCCCGCACGCTCAGAAATCCTGGAAGTCTGCAGCCACCTCACCGGGTGCCGGCCGCGGGACTGCATGGTGGAGCCGGGCGTCGGGCAGGTCTGGCTTTGCCAAGCTGGAAGGAGATCCAGGGGAGGGGAAGGCTTCACTTGTGCCACCCTTTCTGTGGTTCTCCTTGGGGCTGTGCGGGTGTCATGGGCGGAGAAAGACAATCCCTGTGCCTAATCCTGTTTAAAAGGTTTTCGTTGTTTCTTCCAACTTTTTCTCCACATTAGGGTAGGGGAATGGCCTCGGGACCCCTGCGGGGCAGGCCGTCTATGAAGACATCTTGTGTACAGTTTGACGAGAAATTGTTTAACCGGCTGAGTAGCATGTGAGGACAGCAGCACTGCCGCGCTCGTCATTTGGTGATACGCAACAGGGAGCAGCAGGGTTTCCTAGGAGGCTACATCCAGAGGCGTCAGGATCCCACGTGTGTGTTTTAGAATTCACCAGTAAAAATCACCAACGTCTTCAAACTACCTATTTCCTACAACAACACGTTCCAGCTAGGGCTGTCTTTTCATTTACTTTCTCGCCTCCAAAGTGCAAAGCCAGGGAGCAAAACAGAAGTTATCAGGTAGCTGCTCAGGCACTAGGAACACGGAGAGCGATTTGACAAAGCAAATACAGCCTGACTCTTTACATACAGCCCGTACAGAGGCTTGGTCAACAAGCAGCAATCAATAGCTTGAATATATTAAATGGATTTCCACCAACTCAGCTGGAGAGCTCTCCATTTCACTGGCATGGTTTGGGGTCTGGGGGAGATTTCATTCAAAAAGAAAAAAAAAAAGTAAAATTTTATTTCCTGTTCCTGAATGTATTTGCTGCAGCAATGCCATTCCTTCATGTGCCAGAAGAGCTCAAAGTTAGCAGGGTCCGGTACAACTGCATCTTCTCCATCCACGGGCCGCAGCCGTCGCCTGCCCGTGTGCCGGGTCCAGATCGGGAGCCGACGGGGCTCCTCCCGCCAGCCCCACTCGGTGCAGAGTTCCCCGCCGACCCGGCCTGGCCACAGCAGCCATAAGCAGCAACACATGGACAGGAACTTGCACAAAGGTGTATGTTTTTCTGTTGGTCCCCGGTACCGTGTCTGGCAAGCGCTGCTGGCTGGGCCTGCAGGCACCGCGAGGGAGTGGGGATGGGATAAGCTCTTCCTGAGATCTCACTTGCTGTGCTCCAGTCTGTTTTCAGCGTCTTCTCCCAGAGCACGTTCCCTGCTGTCAGAGATACCCCAGATGTTCCTCGCGCTTCTCCCCATCCAGCGGTTGAGTTCATAGCTTGTTCTTCTGTCTCATGGTTAAAAAAATATATATTTTACTTCTCATCCTCATCTCCCTCGCTCATGCTGCTGAGGGAGGCAGAGGCAGCTTTTGGAGAAGAGGGAGGGGAGGCTTTATTGAAGACCCAGGGTGGAGATGGAGAACGGGATGGAGAACGGCCTCGCGTAGGACTGCTGTTTGGGCTCTGCCGGGGAGAAAAAGCCTGGAGCATTCGGCCGCTTCGTTCCTGGAACATCTGCTTCTGCAAAAGCAAAGGGAAAAGATGCTCTTTGAGTAACGCACCGAGGGGAAGGTATGTCTGTGGGCGGGCAGGGGCTTTGCTGCACTGTGCCTCTCACCTGGGAGACAGAGGATAGACTTCTGCTCTGAAGCATGGCCAGTTCAGCCCACGCTTAGCCTCTGCCTCCTCTGTTGTGCTCGTAATAACCCGCTTTTTACATGACAAGGCTTTTTTCCTTAGGTAGGACACCCCTAGTGTGAGAATACTCCGTGTATTGTCCTAAGCTTGCTAGGGGGAACTCCCTTTGGACTTTTGTACGCGTCGGTCACTGTGTCTCAAAGTCAGTTTTCTGCCTGAACTCCCAATGTCCCTTGTTCCCAGGACCTTTGCCTTTTAGGGTGCTGGGACGGACCACCCATCTCGTGCTGAGCTTCCAGGCTGGCCCAGCCTTTTTTCCTCCTTCCCTTCTCAAGGGAGGCAGCCCGGTGCCTGCCAAATACTGGCAGCCACTTCGCCAGCTACCTGGAGCAGGCACCACCCAAACCCTTAAACTGAGGGTGGGAATGTCAGAGTTCAGGTGTCTTTGTTGAAAAGAGAAACACATGCAGGCTCTATGTTCTGCTTTGGGCTTTATTGTTATTTTTGCTTTGTAAAGCTGAGTAGAGGCCTGCCAGAGCCGGTAGGGTGGAAGAGACCACCTTTTCAGTCAAGCAATCTGCTACACTAAGGCAAATGCGGCTACTTGTTAGCACCTACGCGGCCTTGCGTTGGGCTGCCGGGCTGGGTTACGGGAGATCTTAGCACGTCCTGTGCGGCTGCTGCGGGCTTCATGTGGAAAATGTCGAATGCGAGTGCCTCGCTGCTGCTCCGGGGGATGGGGAACGTGAAGTCTCAACCTTGGCTGGAGTACTGGGAGTCGGATCGCAGGCGATGCTCGGCTGGAACGGAAGAGCCAGCCCGGACAAAGTTAAGTTGCCGCTCAGGTCTGAGAGCAAAATATTTCTGCAGAACGTATTCTGGGTTTGCCCGCTTGGTCAGCTGCAGTCCAGACTTTCTCAGCATGAGTTCTCGTTTTGTTCCTCCTCCCCTTCCCCCTGCAGTGACTCTGCTCTGTGATGACCTTCCTCCCAGCCGAGGAGCATGTGGCTGCCTGTCTTGCTTTTCCTCCTCCTCTTTGAAACTCAGAATTCCCTGCCAGCAGTGGGGCAAATGCTAGGTTCTCCCGTCAGGTTTCTGGTGTTTGCTAATCCCGGGGGTTAACGATTGAGCACAATTATCAAGTTTTACTACTGTTCTGTGACCTCCCTCACCCAATGTATATCTTTATCACATGGGTCTTTATTAACTTAGTTTTAGAGCCTGGATGTCGGCGCAGTGCAGAACGACAGAACAGTTCCTGCCTGGAGCCGTGCTTAGCCACGCTCTGATGCATAAAGACCCACGGCATGTAACCTACCCCTGCAGTACGCTAGGTCCAAAATAGTCAAGACTTCCTAAAATCTCAACAGTTAGCAGATGGTGGTTGCTCCTGAAGAATGGTGCCAGGAAGCATTTGGGTGGGGGAGGGTTCCTGCAGCTGAGAGCCATGAGGATGTCACCAGGGCTGGCAAAGCCCTGGAGCCTGTTGAAATTCAATGGTGGGGGTGCAAAATTTCTCTTTAGATCACAGAAACCGAGGTTTTGTTGGCTTGACTTAGTCTGTTTCATCCTCTCACTGAAGATAACCCCCAACAAAAAAAAAATCATGTTTGATATGAAATATCTTTTTCCTGGCCAAGCAAAACACTTCGACTCCCTCCTGTCCCTGGCGCCTTACCAACCACTTCAAGAAGTTCAGTGACGTTGCAGTGGTTCGTGGTGTTGTACCGGTGCTGGGGGACATCGAAGTGTCCCAGCTTGGCTGGTGTCCCACGTGGCAGGGGGTTCTTGACTGCACCTTGGGCCACATGGGCCAGGGATGGAAAGGAGAACCCCACCTTCCTGCGAAGACCCTCAGCCAGGCTGTAGGACACCCGCTTCCCGATCCCTGCTTCAGCAAAGAGTCTGTTGCTTGAACAAGCTGGTGCACTCACACCTTCAGCAGGGTAAGTGCCCAGCCAGCCCGAGTTGCCTCCTGCATTAGTGCTTTAGCCACCAGCCCGCTGGCTAAAGCCACAACTGCTGCAGGAGGTGGTGGTGGTGTAATTCGCCTGCTTTCGGAATGACTCTTCCCCTCCAGCTGTGCTCTAGCAGGGTCAGTAAGTCATGCCCTTCGCAGGCAAGGTCTTCCTAACAGGGGGGTGCTCCTGGGGCCGTTGGGTGCTGAAGAAGCAGAACAAGTGTTAGTGGCTCCCCTGAAGTGCAGGAGGGTTAGACAAGGCTTGGTGTGCTCTGGACCTTTACCAGAGGTGGGAAGATAATTTCAAAGCCTTGGTTCAAGCAAGTTCAGGTACACCCAACCGGTTTAGGGAGATAATGCTTTGCTTTTGGCAAACTTGCTACTGGGCAAAAACACTTTGCCTATTTCTGAATTTTATTGCCTACATGTTGATATTCCTTTGCTTTACAAAACAAGTGCCAGCTGGGCGTTACGGAGGACTGCTGCTTTTGAGCTGCTGATTTTTTCAAGGCCGTGCTCAGGTCCAGGCTGCAGACACACAGTGCAGCCTAAATGGCAGCCCTGGGTTCTAGTCGCAACCTGTAAGGTTCCTCTGAGCCCCCGCAGATGTCAGTTGTGCTGCAGCCATTTCCTGGCGTGCCCATTCCCGACTCCCTCTGTGCACTGAGTAGAGGGAAACGGGCCCTCGGGAGGGAGACCTCGTCTCCTCCGAGAGGGAGGTCAGCATGGAGACCCTGCCCCGTGAGGCGTGCTTTCTCTCCGCTGACCTGAGGTGCAGCTGCCTGCTCGCACGTGTCTGAGAGAAGCTGGAATGAACCCCGCTGCTTTCCGCTTCCGTGGAGCGGCGTCTCTGCCATTAGGGCCTCCGTGCCGGGCTGCGCGGTGGTCCTCTCTCAAGCCGGAACAAAAGTTTCATGCCATGTTAATCGTTGTTTCTGACCGCTCTGTGACTCTCTCGCAGAAAAAATACATGCAGGGGATTGCACAGGTGGGCAAAATTGCCAATGAATTATAGGCATCTTGACGTTTCAAAACTGACACTTTGACCTTTTTCAGAACCTGGTATTTTTTTTGTGGGTTACGTGGCCCTTACTTTTAGAAAATTGATGCTAGCATAAAGCGTATTATAATAATTAGTTGTGAAATAATAATAGCATATTAATGGCATGCAAATTACTGATCTAGGAATCTAGCATGTCCATAACGATTCCTGTACTTTTAATGTCAACATTAAAAGCAACATCTAACTAACAGTGATAAGGCAAATTAACGTTAATAACCGTTTTGACAGTAATAGCAAGTTATCGTTATTTTAAAAGTCTTTCCTGTTGCAAGGCTCAAACTGATTTTAAAAAAGCCACAACGCCTCTCAGCTCACTGTCACTGCCGCTTTTCCTACAACACACTGCAAGGAGATTTCACTCTTGTTCTTAGCAAAGCTCTCTGTGGTTGCACCAGATTTCCTACTCTGTGGTTGGGACACTAACCCCAACCCCACAAAACCCCAAACATCTCCCCGCCCCCCCACCACCCCCCCCCCCCCCAGACCTTCGCAGAGCAGCTTTTCTCTAATTGAATTTGGTAAAATGTTTTACCAGCAAAGGGTTTTTAAAAACGCCATCACTGTGCAGTGTTGAGTGGGTAGAGCTGGAGAATGGGATCAAGGCTTTGAAATTCTTTTCCTGTCTCTGCACAGCCAAACTCATCTCACCTCCTGTGGGTTTCACATGCTCTGTTAGCCTTAGTTTTATTTATTCAGCACCTATGGCCACAGGACCATCCCACATGGAGAACACTCACCAAGCTCTATAGAGAATAACTTACAGAAAGAAGCACTCTTCACGTGGATGTGGCCGATGCAGGTAAACCTGGGCTTTTCATCAGAAGAGTTTACCCTCTTCCCCTCCCCAAGCAAAATGATACTGTCAATGAACAAATTGCTAAATAAGCTATTTGTTTATATGGCTGGGATCGGTGTAATTCAGAGAGCACCTGCCTTTGCACAGGACAGACGTAGCTGTAAGGAGATTATGAAAATGCAGTCTCTGTTCTGAAGCCTTCACAGCCTATTTTTAGGCTTTTCTCAAATGAGTGGTAATCAACATGGCAAGTCATGGTGGAGAAAAGGTGAGAACTCCAGCAAGAGGCAGGTACTACATGCTTTGGTGGCACTGAGTTGTTACATGGCTGTGACGTGGGCTACTTAATTCACCAGGGGTCTGTGAATCTTCCTGAGGGTTTGTTAATAAACAAAAATTCTGCTGAGATCCTTTCAACAGAAGGTACCTTTCATGATGGGAAGTTGTTCAGGTATGAACTGATAAAAGTGACAGGAGAGAACATTATGTGTGTTGGCTCTTTAAAAATACTCCAATAGTATCTGCTTCATGCTAGTCCTAAACTGTTTTTTCTGGCTTGCTGCCTCTATTGATATTTTGCCTCAAACCGTAATCCATGAGCAGTTAAAGCTTTGTACAAGCCTCTTGCAAAGGGTTTGCTCTCACGTGAGGAGGGAGCTGCCTGTCTGCGCGCCACAGTCTGAAAACGTACCTCTGAACCATCCTGCTGTTCTCTGGGATTTTTTGTCTAGCTCTTACTCTGCTCCCCTCAATTCACCCTGCACTGCTTGCTGCTCTCCTCTGTGTTGGAAAAGGACTGACTCCCACCAGGAAGGTCTAAGAAGGTCTCTTCAAACAAATGGTAACTTTTACATTAAAAATAAGCTTTGTTGTTGGTTCCAAGTAGCAAAGGGAAGTAGTACAAGAAAACAAAGTTTCTCAAGGTTTGGCAAGCTATCGGAACTGAAAGATGGGGGGCCAGGACTCTTCTGGGGCTCTGAAGTGTCACCAACTCACCACCCACTCCGTGCATGACTTTGGTTTGAGCCGGTCAGGCCATGGGGTTTCTCCCCAGAAGGATGCTGTTACAGACTCTCAACTGCCTTTCCAAGGCACCCGGGGACCTTTGGTAAGTGGGCTCTGTGGAGCCAGCATGTACCAAGGAGAGATTCGAAAGTGCTTCAGTTCCGCCCGAGCGTTCCCTGCAGTCAGTTAGATGAGCCTGGCCACTCGACATGTAAAATCATTTCTTGGAACTTTAAATCAGTAGTTTTCAAAGTTAGAAAATCATCATCTTCTACTGCTGAGTACAGAGCATGAAAAGAACTATTGAGAAACTTTTCAGCATCCCTGTTTCCCTCACTACCTCCAGTGTATAGTTCCTCCCTGACGTTTGTGTGGTCCCATTTAGTGCTAATGGGGAGAATAGACTGTATTAGCCTGTTTGTTTGTGTGTTGCTGTTATGCAGCTCTGCTGAATGCAGTATCACATTCAGCATCGCACCTTCACAAAAGACAGAAATTATCTCAAAGAAGCAACAGCCAGAAGTGGCAAATCCTCCCGCTGCAGTATTGGCATGCGTTATTGGATTCAGCAAGCAGGTCTGGCGTTATCTTGCTGTGCTGGCTTTCAAAACAAAGACTGCAGCAAAAGAATCTGTTCTTGATCTGCATTACAGAAGACAAATAAAAACCACTCAGACTTCCTGGGATGGCAGAATACCTACCCAGGCTCCATCGGGTCCAAACAGCTCTAAAAAGTTGCCAATAAATTCCCTGGACTTTTCTTCCCATTTCTGAATGAGGTCATGGCTCTTCTCTTCCACCTTGTAAACAAATTCCTTTGATTTTTCCTCCACATTCTTGACTTTTTCTTTCATTTTGTCCACTTGGTTTTGAAAGCGGTATTTCTTCTCCTGTTTTAAAAGTGTGGACAGAGATTAATATATAGGGACTTGGAAATAATTAGCCACTGACAATTGAGAAGAAGAAAAAAATTGCATTAATGTATCCTAATAGATATGGCCTTGGTTAACTATTCCCACATTGTTTTTATAAATGCAAATTTAACATTTGTGGAATGAAGTGCAGAAGGTACATCTTGGAAAGACAGTCTTGTGTGATTACTGTGTTTAATTTGCTACCTGAATCGTTCAATATTTTCAAACTGAATGCACTTTGAAAATTTTACGAATCTTGTGAAGGATATGAGTGAGAAATTAACAGCTCAAACTTAAGCAAAAGGCAAATCTCCCTCGGTTTTCTAGCAAACACACCCCACTGCTGACTTGCCAGCCTGGATGATAACTTGGACCAAAATGTCCCTTTGGTCAGATTTCTGTAGAGCAGAAGGAAAATTCTCTTCACCTCCAAGCCTGGCTAATGCAGGAGCTTCTGGCTGCAAGAGAAAGATGTGCATGGGCCAGTGGCTTGGGGCCAGCAGATTTGATAGAAAAGAGAGCAAAGTCCTAATTGCTAAGGCACACAGAAAAAGAGAGGGACAGGGAAGATAACGCCAGAGGGCTAACGTTGGGCCAGGCTTCTAAAATACTTCAGGGTTAAAGGGCTTTTGTCCTGAAACGCTTCTGTGCTCCTCAAATGTACAGGACTCGCAGCAAACTAATGCTGTGCCCTTGAAGGTGTAATGGTCTCTGTCGAAGCACAGATCACCACAGGCTTTTAATTTCCTGTGAACTTCATTTAATGGGCACTTGGATTTACTCTTAAAACAAACACTGTTTAGGACTGAGCTGGGGTTTTTTTCTAGCTCGTGAATCACTAGAAGAACCATCTTTGCGGGCCACAAGGCCAAAATAAATCCTCAAGGTGCACCTAATAGGTGACCAAGCCTTTCTTTAACAAGGAAACAAGCACTTTTCTGTCTTGGCAAAATCCTGCATTTTTTTTATTTTGAAACACAAACAGCCTCTAGTGCAAATTAGTATTTCTGCATTTAAATTACTATAAGCTAAATAACCAAATGCCAGGAGGGACTTCAGGATGCATCAGCATCTGAGACTGGGGGAAGCATACCTTATGCAACAGTGTCTTAACCTCAGAGCCACTAAGGGGTAAATTTGAGAACCCCCAAGGCATCCTGCATGCCTTAATTTAACGGGTATTTGCAGTAAGCAGTGATCCTTCTGGATAGAGTACTTACAAGCAGGATGTTTTAGAGGTGTAGAAGACTGAAAAAAAAGCACAGTGAAATAAATATTTATGCCCTGTGATCTGTGATTCATCTGCCAGACTTCAAAATAAGAAACAAGTAAACAAAACCCTCATGAAATGACACAATTCAGTCCTTCACAAGGGGGTTTCCCAGCTCCAGAGAAGGAGGGAGAAGTCCGCCCGTGAGCCAGTCCAATCACAGGAAAGATTTCAGTAATGTGGGTTATCTTGAGGCTTTAAGACTTGAAACAGAAAATGAAGGAAAGTAAACCTTCATTTCTGTTAAGCATTTACTCCTCACTGGAGGGTAAGGTGCAGCTCTGTATGTGGAAGCTGAATAATTTGAGCCATCCTTTTAAATGGCGCTCTTGCCCTACCTATTGTGGCTCAGCTTCCTAACACACTTTATTGTCTCTTAAAAACCATTTTAGCTTCCTCTAGTAATCTCACTGCTCACTGGTTGGGTTTTTTTGTTTGCTTGTTTTTATCCTGTCACATTGTAGAGAAAGTTTGGATATCAAAATCTTTGCTCTCTGTGCTGCCTTATCACAGTGGGAATAAAGAAATTGTGTTTTGGGTGGGTGGCTGAGAAGCCTGTTGGGGGGGTGGGCTCCTTCCTAGTGTGTCATTAAGTCATGTACAGCTCAAGGAGGAAGGGGGAGCAGCAGCTTTGTCACAAAAGTGAAAGCTTAAGATGGAAATGAAGCTGCTAATTAATAGGAGCAATTAAAACTGCCCTCAGCTTACCAGTTTCTTTTAAATTAAGTTCTTCCCAGCTATTTTAAAAGCAGCAGGAGGAAGATATCCTTTTTAACCTTTACTCTACATTCAGGATCCTAGAAGAGAGTGTTTCAGAAGCAAATGCAGATCAGTGTACTTACATTTATAAAACTAACATTTAGCTCTTTGGCAGTGTATCCTCGTTGGAGGTTGCGCCGGGCGTACACATCGTAGTCCCGGACGATCCTTGTGATGATATCCGATGTTGAGATACCTTCGGTTCTCTGCGTTGGTACAAACATTCCTGAGCAAAGCGGGAAAAGAAAGCCTGCTGAGAAAGCATGGCAGGACCAGGCACTGTGGCAGGCAGCTGAGGATGAACACAAAAATGCCTGACCAAGGGTAAGAGACTCGCAATTCTGCCTGTCTTATTCCTAGTTCTTTCCTGTTGTTCCTGTGTGAGCTTACGGAAGGCGCTAGGTTTCTATACCGTTCATTTTTCTTCAAGCCTTCAGAAAGCCTAAAACTTGCCCTCTTCACAGTTCCAGCTGTGATGTGGAAGTTATTAGACTGGCAGGGGCTCCTGAGCCAGGAAGGCTAAACCTTGCAGTTGTGACAATTCACTGAGCAGTTCTTTCTATAAGCCTGGCACTTATTTAATGTTATATAAGGGAGTGGGGGGGTTGGCTTCCACTCCCGCTATTGAAAGGCCATTTGCTGCTCTCCTGTGTATTTCCACTCTCCCCTCCCCTCCTGTGTGGCACCATCTGACGGTCTTCATTCTGCTCAGTAAAACAGACTGGCCTCTGTCCTTGGCCAAAGCCAGGAAGCGCCTTCAGGTAAAAGATGCATTACAGTAACTGGAAAACACCCTGGAGGTGCCAATAGCTTGTACCAGGAAGATGAAGCGTAACGGTGGTGTGAACAAACACAGATACACCGTGGGGACTGAGGGTATCAGTCTCCATAGCCCCCATCTCGTGTCCACCTGGCCGTGTCAGTGGCTGCATAACCACTCTCCCTGCTCCGACAAGAGCCATCCCTAATAAAACTGGCCATTTATTAATACTGCTTGTATTTTCCTCAACACACCTAAGGATTATATACATATTTTATATATATATCTCAAGACAGGATCACTTAAAGCAAGTCACAAAGGCAATAACAGCAGAGTGCTAGCACACCTTGGTTTAGTAGTTAGATAGGGCTACAAAAAATTACTACTATCACTTATATGTAATTGCAACATCAAGCTGCTGCTAAGAGAGAGATGTAAGATAAGACTGGAAATGGGTCTGCAAAACAAAGTAGTGCTTTGTCTTAAAAGGGTGGTATAGCTACTGGCAAATTAATCTTCATGCGTCCACTTGAAGTAGGCAGGCATTGCTAGCTAATTTCACAGGGTTAGAAAAAGACCTGCAGGAGGAATCAAGAAGCTTTGCAGCCACTTGTGACTAAATGCTATGGGATATTTTTTCTTTCTGATCTCTAATTAATACTCTGTGAAAAAATAGATTATTTTAATCACGAGCAGAGAGGTTTCCCTGATCGTGCTTTTCAGGCTTGCAGCAGTCACTCAGGAAGCTATTTTTGGAAGCAGTGAAAACCACTTTAAGCCAGAAGCCTTTATAGGTAGGAGCTACAAGAATATATGAACAAATCCAAACCCTACCCTTGCTAAGCCAAAAGTGGAATTGTTTTCAAGTAGATGCATAAACCCATGTATGAGAACATTACCTTTAGTCACCGATTTTGCTTTCATATGCTTCGTGTGTTGGGCTGATTCATGTTTTCCAAACTAATTGTTCACAGATGTGCAGAGGTTTAGTCAGTGCACCATCACCCAGCTCACTGTTGTCCATACGCCCTCCCACCCACTGAAGGCAGCGGGGAAATGGGAGCCCATGGGAATCTACACAAGAAGTTCCGCAGTTCCCATCTGCTTCTCTGCTCCCCAACAACCCGATGTGGGAAAATGGGAGTACTGGAACTAAGGGAAATGCGTAAGTGCACAGCATTGGTCTATTTAAAACAAAACACCCTAGGAGAAATTCACTATTGGAATAATGCTGTTCTGGAGCATTAGGACTATTACAGCACTAGATCTCAAAACTTCACAAATAAGGTAACTTTATTCCCAGTTTATATGTAACAAAATTCAGCCATACAAGACTGAAGTCACTTCTCCAGCATCTCGCAGTGATGGACACGGGGCAGACCACAAGTTCCTGAAGCTGTAAGTCCATACTCTATTCTGCAGACAAAGTTTAGATTTCCCACCAGGACGTGTGTGCACTGCACCTATGCCCAACAACAGCAGAGAAGGATGTGCCAGGTTTGGACACTCTCCAGCTCAGCCTAGTAACGATGCAGTGACACCAAGGGCTCCTGTCATGTTGTCCTGTGCACTCAGCACCTTATAGAAGAAAGGCAACGTAGCTGCCTGGCCAGCATGTATGCTGTATGTCCCTTGGTGTCCTGTCCTTCCCACAGGTACCTTTGTTCCACTGCCTAGTGAAGTAAGCTGGTGCTGGCTCTGAAACTGTAAAACAGCAGTTCCCAAAGGAGGGTTGTGAGTCTGACACCACAGTGAGGTTTGCAAGTGGAAAAAGATCAAGAACTGCTGCTATAAAAAGCTTATTCTTTCAGCTCAGGTCAATACCTGGTCTACTGCTGTCATTGTACAGCTTGAGAAGGTCGCTTTGCATGACAAATTGCCATCAGGCAGATCTACTCTAGAATTTTTTTAAGCCTCCAATATACATGTTTATGCAGACCAGGAAGAGGATGGATTCGCTGGTGTTCAGGGCAGCACCTCCAGGGAGCAGGAGGAGAAAGGTATGATCGGTTCCTCCTGCACTGTTCACTGTGTTAAGACAGCTGCTGCTGGCAAACAGTGGCTTAATATTGTCACCTCGGATTTAATTCAGCTTCCTTGAACTGATGAGATACAAACTCCTGATGACTTCAGCATGGTCATGTTCAATGTAATATGGTAGTAAACCAAACTGCTAAATAGTCATGGTAAATTAATCACTCTGGTACTGATTTAAACCCTCTGCCAGTGTAGTAAAAAGAACCCTCAGTGCAAATCAGAAGTGGATCCTAATGAGTCCTGAAGGCTCCCTGTGCTTGCCCATATTCAGGACTGGGCTGTGTCAAAGAGTCACCAGTTTGCGGTTATCAACAAACCACTGAAGTTGGCTGGGCTGCTCTGGGAACTGAACTCATTTTCATCGGTTCAGAGGTCTTAGTTGAGCACCCTGAAATTGTTTAAAAAACCCAGATGGGATTCTTCTGTGACAGATCTGAATGGTTTCCTGGGGGTTATGGCAGGAATTCAGCCAAGGACATCCTTTGTGGTTTTACAAAGTGAACCTTTCTGCCGAAGTCAGCAGTACCTACCATTAGGGCGTAAGAGAATATGATATTATCTCTACTGCTACTCTCCCAGCAAAAGGCAGTAAAAGAATTTGAGCTGAGGCTGAAAAGGAAGGTGCCAAAAATGTAAAGTTGCCCTTACCTGCCTCCTTTATGTGTTTGTATACATCATCCGAGCCAGCGGAGGAGTACGGGATGTCATCATGGGCTACAAAGTCAATCTGCCAGTGAACAGAAGAAGAATCACATGCCACCATCACAGAATTTTGGTTCAGTGGGGGGTCGTTGTGGAGGATCATCTCTTTTCTCGACTTCAGCTGACTTGCTTTTGACATTCTCATCCTAAAGCGATCACCTAGAATATTGCACTAGATTTAGGCCTACAACTGCTGGGTTGTATGATCAATTATGAAAGAACAGAAAGCTTGTCTCCAGAAGCACTGGCATTAACACATCACTCTGGCTCGCTCTGTGTGTGATTCTGTAGAAAATCTAAGACAGCCGTTTCTGCTTTTATTGCTACTGGAAGAGCTCAGTCAAGTGGCAAAGCCTTGGCTTTCAAAACCATGGAGGCAGGATTGTTGATTCTGCCTCCATAGGGCTGTGCGTACATAAATGTATACCTAATACTGTCACACTGTGCATTTGGCACCCAGTGATGTGGATGCTAAAATACATCCTAGTTAATTATACTTTTGTTAAGATTTATATATATTGCAAGACAGCCAATAGCACGTAAGAAATTCTATCCTGCCTTTTAGAGATGACATTTTCATGTATTTCTGGCCACTTGTTGCACCTGTTGACATTAATAAGAAACGTGCCTTTAATTCAGGACTTTAACAGAGCTTTAGTCACTATGTCATAACTTTTCTGGTTCATGATCTTCTTTCCTGAAAGTCAATTTGTGAAAAATTCTTCAGTCTTATTTTACTATTCAAAAATCCCACTACAGAAATAATTTCAGCATCCTGAGACAAAAAAGGCAAGACAAATATAACATTTTCTGACAAAGATGGAGGCAAGCAATGCTATGTACCTAATTTCAGTGACTGGAATTAACTGAATTAAATAATTTGCTCCAGTTAACGGAATTTCACAGGCTTGATGTTTTTTCTCAACTGCCAGTCTACAAAGGGGAAGGGAGGGATAAGGGGAGAAACGTACCTTATGTTTTTCAAGGAACTCGGGTGTCAGTGTCCAGGGTGCATCTCTGATGACCTCATCCACATAACGACAGTGTCTGAGGGCTTCATATCGCTCAGTTTCATTCATCACAGTGAAGCCTTTGAATTTATGAGTTAAATCATCACTGCAAACTAAAATATGGAAGTATCAACAAAATGGCTCCACACTCAGTAGAATTAGCATGACCAGCAGTTATTTATTTCCTGGTAATTCCATTAAGCACTTAGTTATTAGCTTAGCTAATTTTGGGGTGCTCCAAGGCATCTACGAGTTATGCTCAGGGTTGGCAGGTACAACCATAGACTTATGAGAGATCCTTCCCTTTCTGGAGCTGCAGCCAGAGCCCAAGTGAGATATTGTAGGATATCTCAAGCAGTACTATATGCGCATAAGTGGGGATTTCATGGGCAGTGAAATTTCAGGGATGACGGACAATGCTTTAAAAAAAAATCAAAAAGTGCAGTGTTACCAATGACAGAATGCTCGCAAATGTCATGTAACACGAAATGGTTGAGGCAGGAAGGCACCACTGGACATCACCTAATCCAAACCTCCTTCTCAGGGCAGGGTCAACTACAGCAGGTTGCTCAGGGCCATGTCCAGTTGAGTTTCCAAAGATGGGGACCCCTCAGCCTCTCTGGGCCTCCGGTTCCCACTTTTTTGTTCTTATGCAAACGGTGTTCTAAATGTTGAATTTGCCAACAAAGCTCTAAATCGCAGCAGAACAGTTTCTCACTAAATAAACACTGATGGAAAACAAGTCATGGCAGATTTTATAGGAATCTGTCTCTGAGTTTAGCTTTGAGTTCAGCAGGTTTCATAGAAAGAGAAGTAAGGCTTGTGCCATATTCAAATTGGAAATTGCAGAAGGAAGCCCCATGGAAAGGTCTGGGAGAAGCCACATGCTCTAGTGGAATGAGCGAGTCCAGAAATCCTGCATCTTCAACTCTGAATGTACCAATACTTTTGTCACATTGCTTTTAAAATGAGGGGAAGCAACGCCCATGTTACCAGAAGACTATAAGGTTAGGTATTATCTTTCTACCCACATAACATTTCATAAAACACAGTGGCCTGCCCCCCCCAGCTGTAACTCTGCCCTATATTATAGCTACAACAGTCATTTGACACCCCACATGGAATAACATGATACCCATTTATAGCTGGGTCGACAGTGGTTGTCCTTCACCACAGGTCAAACCTGTGCCTTTGGATCTCACGTCTGTGTGCCACCGGGACAAATAGTAAATGTACTTGACAAATAATAAATGCAACACTATTAGTGCTGCAGGGAAGTGTAAGAGCAGCCCTACAACTGCTGCTTCTTTCTAATTTGAAAACATCAACCTATCAGGCAAGGCGCTGGCAAAGATGCAGTCTTTTTTGAGATCTAAAATGGATGTTCTTGCTGTGATAGTCATTAAGGACCTTTAAAGTAGGAAAAAAAAGTAGGAAGGCTTAGATAGCCCTGGATTTTGTGCAAAATTCAAAGCCAGATAATAATATACATATGAATTTCAGCTAGCAAAATGCTACTCTGTCCTATTATGTCATTTTTTGATGCCTGCTGACAAGAAATTTAATGCAGATCAAAGCATTTTCAGTAGAAAGATCCCTTCCGAGACTGTATTTATATTTATTTACAGCCTTTATGCCACCTTAAAGCTACCCTCTCCTGGAAGAAAGGGTCTACCAAAATTATTGGAAAATAGTAATTTTTGCTTGAATTCTGTAGAAAGGTTTGATTTCATTTTTTGATTACTCTTTGTTCATGTACAGTGCAGACACAATATCTTTGTGTTTTCTTTTGATTCTGTCATCCTGTTCTAATGACTGATTTGGGAAGGTAAAAATATCTATTAAAAAAAATTTCTTAGCTCCAAATAATTGTCTTGACAATGAGAAATAAAAGGGATTGGTTGTGGTGCCCACAAAAACACATGACACCAGTGCTTTTGCAGCACAAATTGTATGTGGGTGTGGAAAGGTGCCCATTTTTTAAACATGCTAAGATGTAGAGTGCCTTGCTGGGAAGAGGTGCTGATGAGTGCTGGCTGCTTTGTCCTTCACTCCAAAAATAAGGGCAAGGTGAAACTATGCTATGAATTTCAAACGAGCCAGACTTTTGCCCCAGAGCTCCTTCCCTGATCTGGGACACCCCCCACTCCTTTAAAAGCAACAACAAAACCTACATAACTTGCATGGGTTTTTAAACCTCGCAGTCTTGCACCTCCA